CAGCGTGTAGCGCTTGCGCGCGCGTTGATATTCGAACCAGAGCTCATACTGATGGACGAGCCGCTTGGAGCACTCGACAAAACGCTGCGTGAACATATGCAATATGAAATAAAGCAGATCCATCGCGACTTGGGCGTCACCATGGTTTATGTGACCCATGACCAATCCGAAGCGCTTACGATGTCAGACCGCATTGCGATCTTCGAAAATGGAAATATCGTTCAGATCGATAATCCGCGCGCGCTTTATGAGCGTCCGGCCAACGCCTATGTTGCTGGATTTATCGGTGAAAATAATATGCTTTCAGGGCGATCTAATGGTTATGATGAAAATGGTTGCCTTCTTGTCACTCTTGATAGCGGCAACCCCATACATATGCGCGATTTGAACAATATAGATGCAGGAACAGCCGTTACACTCGCAGTCCGTCCGGAGAATATTTCCATCGGAGAAGCCGCTCGACAAAGACGTAATCAATGCAGCGCAACGATAAGCGACGTCACTTACGTCGGAGATCATTTACGTCTGCTTGTTGACATAGGTGCAGGTCAACAACTTGTCCTGCGACGACCCTTGATCGACTTTCCGTCAGAGCCACAGCTCGGACAACCATTACTTATCGGTTGGAACGATACAGACGGGTGTGTGTTCTTTAGTAGCAAAGCAGCCTAGGGACTGAATTTAGAGTTTGAATCGCGACTGACTCAGGCACCAATTCAAACGTTAAATTCAGAAATCCACTCCAAGAATTTTTTTGTGGTGGTCAGTTGAGGTTGGGAACAGTTAATCAAAATAACTGATCCATTCCTTTGTTACCACAAACGCTCAGCGAAAATATTGCGCTATCGGGGAGATGAAACAGAAACGGTGATTGACGTCGATAGAACGCCATGCAAATAATCATTATGATGCATCATGCAACAAATATCGAGCGAGAACCATGTTTGACTACTGTATCGTGGGAGGCGGCATCGTCGGCTTGGCCACCGCATTAAAGATTGTCAAAAGTGAACCGGGTTCTCGTATTCTTTTGTTGGAGAAAGAAAACTCGCTTGCGGTTCATCAGACGGGGCATAATAGCGGTGTCATACATGCTGGAATTTACTACAAACCGGGAAGCCTAAAGGCTGAACTTTGTCGTTCTGGTGAACACCTAACGAAGCAGTTTTGTGAAGAAAACAGTATCCCCTACCGTACTCCAGGAAAACTGGTAGTTGCAACAAATCCACTCGAGTTGCAGCGTCTCGCAGATCTCGAAATAAATGCGGCCGCAAACGGCATTAACTGTCGCCGGTTAAACAGTCAGGAACTTGTAGAGATTGAACCAGCCGTAACTGGGCTTGGTGCTTTGCTCGTGGAGCAGAGCGGCATCGTTGACTATCGCGCGGTTTCCAGAGCAATGGGTGAGACGATCAAGGCCGCAGGCGGCACAATCATGTACGACGTAGAAGTCGATCGCATCGAAGAGCGTTCAAATACTGTCCGCATTCATACAAACAAGGAAGTATGGGAAAGCCGCAATGTCATCGCCTGCGCTGGGCTACAGGCTGACCGTCTTGCTCAACAATCGGGACAAAAAGTCGATTTCCAGATCGTGCCTTTTCGCGGAGAATATTACGCACTGAAGCCAGAATTAAGCAATTTGGTCAATCGGATGATTTATCCCGTGCCCGATCCATCAATGCCATTTCTGGGCATCCACCTGACGCCTATGATGGATGGGAGATTGACTGTGGGTCCAAATGCGGTCCTTGGCATGTCCCGCGAGGGCTATGCAAAATTCTCGACAAACCTGCGGGATATGGCCACTTATGCAAGGTTTCCGGGCTTTTGGAAGGTGATCTCAAATAACCTTAGCTCCGGGCTTCAGGAGATGAAAGACAGTATCTTCAAGTCGAGTTATCTGGAAAAATGTCGCAAATACTGCCCGTCGCTACAAGCAAGCGATCTGCTGCCTTATCGAGCCGGAATACGTGCTCAGGCGGTCTCCAAAGAAGGCGTATTGATCCACGATTTCAAATTCTTGCAGTCCAAGCGTGTTCTGCATGTCTGCAATGCCCCCTCGCCGGCAGCTACATCGGCAATTCCGATCGGCGATCTGATCTTCAAACGTTTACAACAAAACAATTGAGTGAGCCATGTCGAACCAAAATGCATACAAAGACACCCTACTTTTCATCAATGGTAAATGGGTGGAAGGACAAGGCGGCAAGCCAATTGATGTCCTCAACCCTGTCAACAACGAGCGAATTGGATCAGTCAGCGTCGCTTCGCAGTCACAACTTCAGGCGGCAACAGAAGCAGCAGAAAAAGGATTCAAAGTCTGGAAAAATACCAGTGTCTTTGAACGTTCAAATATCCTTAGAAAAGCTGCAACATTGTTGCGCGAAAGAGCCGACGCTACAGCTCATTTGCTGACACAGGAACAAGGAAAGCCACTGGCAGAAGCCCGTGCTGAAGTGAACGTTTCAGCGGATATATTTGATTGGTTTGCAGAAGAAGCACGCCGCGCTTATGGGCGGATCATTCCCGCTCGTGATCGTGCGGTAAGACAAACTGTATTCAAAGAGCCGGTTGGCCCAGTGGCAGCATTTACGCCCTGGAATTTTCCAGTTTCGCAAACCGCACGAAAGCTCGGCGCAGCACTCGCTGCTGGTTGCTCGCTCGTTGTCAAACCATCAGAAGATACGCCAGCGGCAGCCGCAGTCCTTGCCCATGTACTTCATGAGGCAGGCATTCCAGATGGTGTGGTCAATTTCGTATACGGCGTACCTGCCGATATTTCAAACTATCTGATCGCTCATCCCGCTATTCGCAAGGTATCTTTCACCGGATCTGTCCCAGTCGGCAAACATCTGGCTGCCCTTGCAGGCAAGCATATGAAGCCAGCAACGATGGAACTTGGTGGTCACGCACCCGTTTTAGTTTTCGGCGATGCAGACATTGAGGCTGCAGCGAAAACCATGAGCCAATCAAAATTCCGCAATGCCGGTCAGGTCTGTGTATCACCCACCCGTTTCCTTGTTGAAGAATGCGCGATTGATCAGTTTGTAGACATTTTCGTTACTGAAACGAAGCGTCTGACAATTGGCTCCGGTCTGGACGCGGAAAGCAATATGGGGCCACTGGTCTCAGAACGTCGTCTTGAAGCAATTGAATCGCTTGTTGCCGATGCGCGTGAACACGGCGCAAAGCTTGCAACCGGCGGCAAAAGGATTGGTAATTCCGGCAATTTTTACGAGCCAACGGTGCTCACAAATATAACGCGCGACATGCGTATCATGAATGAAGAGCCATTCGGGCCTGCCGCATTGATGATCCCGTTTCAGGACATCAATGAGGCTTTGCTGGAAGCCAACCGTCTACCATTCGGGCTTGCTTCATATGCCTTCACAAAATCAGCTGCAACGATTAGCGAACTTGAGCGCGGGATTGAAGTTGGCATGCTGTCAATCAACCATCTGGGACTAGCGCTACCAGAAACGCCCTTTGGTGGTGTAAAAGATAGTGGTTACGGTTCAGAAGGTGGCAGCGAAGCAATTGAGTCTTACTTGACGACTAAATTTGTGTCTGAACGCCACGTACTTTAGCGCACCTATAATACTACACACAAGAAATCTATTTGGACTAAAACTAAGCCCGCATAGTAAACCATGCGGGCTTTCATTTTTACACCATACCCAAACTGTTAGTGTTGAGCAGTCGTTTTCTCTGAGTCAATTTTGAAAGTCCCTGGTTCATTCTCATCTGGCACCAGTACAACGCCATAAACTCTTAGAGCCGCGTCCACAGAGAGCCAGCCTCGATTGGCGGTAGCAAGCACGCGCTGCGGGTCACGTTTACGAGGATCGCCATAGCCACCACCACCAGAGGCGGTAAATGCAATTTTCGCACCTTCTTCGATCACAACTTCAGCAAATGCGGGTAACACCTCTTCAGCACCGCTGGCCTGAAGCTTGATTGTTTCCGATGCTTTGCCGGTTCCACCACCCAACACGCCCCGTGGTGGGAATGTCGTGCCGTCCGCCGCATAGACAATAGTCATATCGTGATCCAATGGATAAAAAACACCACCCACTGTCGGAGCGCCCTCGAATTCTCCGAACCCTTGAGAGTCCTGAACAACCCCACGTCGCTCAATAATGATTGGATACATGGATTCATCAACTTCAACCGAATCCAATTGGATCAACCCGGCATTTGCAGGCCCGCAATACGTGAGCCAGCCGTCATGACCATGCAATGCGCCGCCGCCCGCATAGCCCACAAAGACCTGATTTACATATCCCTTGCCGCCTTTGTATGGGTCTTGTCCGGAAATAACACCTACGCCCGCAGGCAAATGTGACCCGCCTTCAGCCTGACCATAAGGTGCGCCCATTTCGGAGAAAACGGCATTGCCTGCAATCATCAGACGGTCGTTCACGTTGGTTGTCGCAACCGAGGTACCCACTGGATATTTTGGTTTGCCTACAACCGAGCCATCACGTAGCAGAACTTTAATCTGGGATTTAGCCCCTTCATTATGCGGCACAGTTTCGTCGAGATTGTTAAATACCCCAATACGACATGATCCTGTGGCGGTATTTTCGGAAAGATTCAAGCCGCCCGCAACGCAATCAATATTGTCACGTGCATCAACAACGATTTCGCCCTTCTCTGGATCGACATTTATCGTCAGCCTGACAGGAATCCCCTCATCCGCCACTCCGGGAACCGGGTCATGTCGGATTTCGTAACTATATTGACCTGCCGGAAGTTTGGCGATTGCTGCCTTCGCGCAACGTGCTCCGTAGTCAAACCAATCTTCGACAAAATCCATTACCGTTTCAGGAGAATATCGTTCCAGCAATTCATGAATACGGCGCTCACCGGTCCGGCAAGCACCGATCTGGGCGCGCACATCGCCGAGCCACATTTCAGGAACACGGTTACGCATGGAACCAATGCGCAAAATATCCGCCTTTTCCTTATAATTTTCGGCGACCCTTACACAGGGCCAATGCATGCCTTCTTCAAAAATATTCTTCGCAAACGGCAAATATGTTGAGGGGGTTGGTGCACCTGTATCTGCGTGGTGAGACAGCGCCATCATCCAGAATAATGGTTTTCCCGCATAAAATACAGGCATAGCCACGATAAGATCGGCATGATGGGTGCCGCCTGTGAATGGGCAATTGTTGAAGAAGATGTCACCCGGTTTGATATCATCAAACATCTGAGTGATAGGACGTGTCGCCAAATCCATTGACATTACGTGAATGGGTAACGCGTCTTCAACAGACACAAGACGATGATCATAGGTCAGAATGGCGCATGAAAAATCGCGAGCATTTTTGATAACAGCCGAGCGGCTGGCACGCATCACCACAAGCGTCATTTCACGCACAACGGCTTCGAAACGGCTCTTAAGTACCGACATGAGAAACGGGTCGACGCGACGAGCAGCGGCACCAGTATCAGACATTTTTGCGCTCATATTCATCTCTTTAGCCTCTCTGCTTAGTCTACCTGGACAACAAGATTGCCGTATTCGTCGACGACAGCATTGTGGCCGTGCTTCAGATAGGCTGTGAAAGTCTCGGCATCGATAATGCATGGGCCGATCAGATCAGCCCCCATTCCAAGGCCGGTCAATTCGTATACCGGCAGTTCTTCGCGCCTGCCCTTCTCATGGCTGTAAACTTTACGGGTGGCTTTGGGTTCAACAGGACCGTTTTGTGCTAACAGCTTATGGTTGAGCCAAATATCCTGGCCTGTGCGCTTCCCAATGGCGCGTAGTTTCCAAGCCGTAAACTCGACAACGTCGCCGTCTGCGCGAATCGAATAGATACGTTCGTGCATCTGGTGGAAAGCTTCGACAAATTCAGAGAGCTGTGTCGCAGAAATTTGTCCATTTTCGACAGTGAATGGAACTTCAATTTCAAATGACTGATATTCGTAACGCCCCATGAACGTGAATTCAAAACGGCGATTGGCATCCGGGACGCCCGCTTCTTCAAGGAAACTGCTGCCGGATTGAATAAGCCGAGCCAGAATGGCGTTCACACCATCGGGATCAAACCGCTCACTTGACGTTAGTAACACGCCGGTATCTTCCCGGCGAATATCTGAAATCAGCCCACCGAAAGCCGACAATCCTGCCATGAACCGCGGAATCATATAGCGTTTAAGGCCAAGAATGTCGGCCATTTCTGCGATGTGAATTGCTGTTGCGCCGCCACCGCATACAAAGAAACTATCGCGCGGATTGATACCTTCACGCACAGTGATTTCTTCAATAGCTGCAACCATATTGTGGTTTGATGTGGTATAGATCGCATAGGCAGCCTCCTCATTGGAAACCCCAAGTTGCCCCGCAACCTGTGCTACAGCCGCTTCAGCAAGATCCCTGCGCAGTTGCATTTTACCACCCAGAAAGTAATCCGGGTCGACGATACCGAGAACCACATTTGCATCTGTGACAGTTGGAAGAGTACCACCTTTATCATAACAGGCAGGCCCCGGACGGGCGCCAGCGCTATGAGGTCCAACATGCAACAGGCCACCGTCGTCAACAGAAGCGATGGAACCGCCTCCTGCGCCGACCGAACGCACATCTACCTTAGGAATACCAAGACTATCATGGTGGATCATACTATCTGGTGTGATAATAATTTGATGATTGCGCAGCGCGGACACATCGAATGTCGTTCCGCCCATATCACCCACGATAATGTCCGGTTCATCAGAAAGCGCGAGTGCTGCCATCGGTGCGAGCGTGGGCCCTGACATGACCGAATAAATCGGCTTCTTGATCATTTCCGCAAGAGGCATCATCCCGCCAACACAATTTGCCAGCAGCAACTCGCCCTCAAAACTCGTCCCGTCGAGAGCGACGCGAAGTTTTTCTATATAACGCTTAACGATTGGATTGATTGAGGCGTCTATGGCGGCAGCAATAATACGCTTATATTCCCGCGGCATCGGGTTGATTTCGTGGCTCAGTGTGATTGCTACGCCCGGAAGCCTTTCCTCCAGAATATTACGTATTTCCAACTCGTGATCGGGATTGACGACGGACCAAAGCAAACCAACCGCAATTGCTTCAACGCCAAGTTTGGCGAAGTCATCAGCGGCACGAATAACGTCTTCGCGATTGAGTTCTCGAATGACACGGCCTCGAGCATCAATACGTTCACCAACCGTGCGCGTGAGATGGCTCGGGACATAAGCATCCGGATAATCAAGACGCCATTGAAATGCACCTTTGCGCGGTCCTTCGCGCAGAACCAGCACGTCCTGATGACCTTCTGTAACAATCAATCCAACCTTGACGGTCTTCCGCTCAACCAGCGCATTTGTCGACACCGTTGATCCATGAACAATCAGGTCGATGTTTTTGAAAAACTGATCGGACGTCAGGTTATAGCCTTCAGCAGCCACATGAAGAACGTTGATAAAGCCATTTTCAAACTCACCGGGTGTCGTTGGTGATTTAAAAATGGAGATTTCACCATTTTCATTTGAAACCAGACAATCGGTGAAGGTTCCACCAATATCGATACAAACCTGATATGTCATATAATCCTCAAGATCTCTCTTCGAGCCGAAATTGGAGACGGTTTGCTCTCTGAAGCTTATGCAACCGTCCAGATTGTGTTGCTGGCTTTGGGTAGATGATTAGCGCGGCACTTCCTCCCGAACGATAATCAGAGAGGCGATGATGATAAGCCCCAGGAATATCTGCTGGAGATAACCGTCCACCTGAATAAGGTTCATTCCATTGGAAAGAACGGTAATGAAAACGGCACCTATCAAAGCAGCTGTTACGCCGCCTTCTCCGCCGGACAGGCGAACACCGCCGACCACTGCCGCCGCGATGGATTCAAGGGTCAAATTTCCGCCCAGATTGGGTTCTCCTGATCCTGTGCGCGCCGTCAACATAACCGCACCCACTGCTGTCAGAAGGCCACAAATAGTGTAGGCCATAATGACCACAGGCTTCGCACGAATTCCGGCCACATTGGCCGCCTTTGGATTGGCCCCTATGATATAGATACTGCGGCCGAACCTGGTGGCAGAAAGCGTGACGCCAAGTATGAGGAAGGTCACGGCCAAAACCCAGATAGGCATCGAAATACCGAGCATTTTCCCTTGCGAAAACACTGCATTGAACACCGGTGGCAAGCCGGTAATTGGAAAGCCACCACTGACGGTTGAAGCCAAAGCAAGTACGATATTGGCCATACCAAGAGTAGTGACAAGCGGATTGAGTTCAAATCCTGCAATCAAAATACCATTGGTTAAGCCGATAGCTGATCCCAGAAGCAAAGCCACACCGATGCCGAACAGCATTGATGAAATATCAGCGCCACCGGTCCCGACCATCACCATTGCCGAAACAACGCTGATGAGCGAAATATTGAACCCAAGGGAAAGATCAAACCCGCGTGTGAGGATGACAAAGGTTTGTGCCATCGCGAAGATAGCCAGAAAACTCGCCTGAACAAGAATGTTCTGCAGATTACCAAGCGACCAAATGCGGGGCTCTATGCTTCCAAAGAAAATCAGGACAGCAACAATAGCCAAAGGCAGAGCAAACGCAGATAAAGACTGCGAAAACGCCTTAAACTTCATTTTTGGGAGCATTGAAGTTACATCAGTCATCTTTATTTCCTCGCCCGTAGCACGCGTTCAATTCCCAAGGCGATGATCAGAACGGCACCAAGCATCAAAGTCTGAAACTTACTGTCGATCTGTAGCAAGTTCATTGCATTACCAATGACGGTCAGGAAAAGGGCTGCCAGCACGACAAGCTCGACGCGCCCTACACCGCCACGCAGTGAGACACCTCCAATGACTGCCGCCGCAATGGTTTCCATCGCGAGCGTACCGCCGATAGTCGCTTGTCCCGAACCAAGACGCGCAGTCATAAGAAACCCGGTAATGGCAGCCAAGATACTCGCAAGAACGTAAGTTGAGATGATTACGCGCTTCACTTTGATACCAGAAAGGCGAGCTGACCTGGCATCACTACCAACAGCGTAGATATGGCGGCCAAATGCGGTGAACCGTTGCATAACCCAACACAGTGCCGCGATCGCAAGCACAATGATCATCACAACCGGAACACCTGCTAACTGACCGCGACCAACGCCTTTGATAAATCCGTCGAAAACGCCATAAACAGGGATACCTTGTGTAAAGTACAGCCCCGCCCCCATGAGTACTGATGTAACAGCCAGCGTTACCATGAACGGTGAAACATTGAAGGTTGCGATCAATGATCCATTGATGAGACCAACAAGCCCCCCAAGCGCTATAACCGCAAGCAAGGCCATAAGTGTAACATAGAGTTCCATACCGGGATACAGCGGCGCCACAACAAGCATAATCGTTGCAGTAATCAGCGTAGCCCCTGCAACAACTGCTCCAACGGAAAGGTCAAATCCACCCGTCGTCATAACAAGCATCTGTGCCACAGCCGGCAAGGCTAAAAAGGAGAAATTTCTCATAACATTGAGAAGATTGAGGCGGTTCAGAAATCGCGGTTCAAGAATTGAGGTGACAATGATCGACACCGCGAGAAATGTAAGAACAATACCGCCACCAGTGATGAACCGATCGATATTTCGTACCCTATGGATCGGAGCGATATACCGTGTGGTGATATCGGTCATGCCACGGCCTCCTTCGCTTCAGCTTTCCCAAAGTAGTGGGAAAGAACGTTAGCCTCCGATTTCTCACTCTCCTGGATTTCGGCCATGATTGCGCCCTCATGCATGACATAGATACGTGAAGCGAGATGAATCAATTCTGGGAGCTCAGATGTTGAAACAATGACGCAAGCGCCACGTTCTACAAGACGCTTGATGTACCGATAGACATCAGCCTTAGCACTGACATCTATACCAACTGTCGGCTCGTCAAATATGTAGACATCAAAGTCTTTCATAAGTCCGCGAGCCAGCATGATCTTCTGGCGGTTGCCACCCGAAAATGCGCGAACAGGTCTTTCTGGATCAAGCGGGCTTAACGCCAGCTCTCTCAATGGCCCCTCGACAAGTTGACGCTCTCGCTTGTGCTTAAGAAACGCGCCTTTCGACATTGCCGAATGTCCCAGACTTGCCATTGTAACGTTCTCACGCGCAGGTCTGTTCAATGCCAAACCTTCTTCCCCTCGGTCAGCGGGGAAATAACAAAGATCGTTCTTCAACATTACAGATGGAGACGGATTGCTGATCGTTTTTCCGCGCAGTTCAATCCGCCCTTCGGAAATATGTTCAAGTCCAAAAATTGCTCGACACAATTCAGAACGACCACAGCCAATCAGTCCTGCTAGACCTACAACTTCGCCGGACCGAGCAAAGATACTGGCTTGGGAAACAGTACCTTTGCTCGTTGAAAGATTATGAGCTTCAATAACAACGTTTCCGGGTTTAAAGGCGATATCCGGAAACAATTCAGAAACAGGTCGACCGATCATCATCTCGATCAGACCTTCATCACTGATTTCTTTAGTCGTGACAGTTCCTATGTATCTCCCCCCGCGCAAGACTGTGACGCGATCAGAAAGATTGCGAATTTCTGCCATCCGGTGTGAGACGTAAATAATGCCGACACCCTTCGCCTTCAGACGATGTATCGCCCGGAAAAGCTTTTCCGCTTCACCATCAGTAAGCGAGGCCGTCGGCTCATCAAGAATAAGAATTCTCGGTTCCAGACGCAGTGCTTTGGCGATCTCCACCATTTGTTTCTGCGCGCGAGACAAATGCCCAACTGGAATATCAAGCGGTACTGGAAACTCCAGATCTTCCAATAATTTTTGCGCTTGCTGACGCATAGTCGATTTTTTAAGGAAGAAGCTTCCAGTTGTTTCGCGTGCCAGGAACAGATTTTCAAGGACTGTCAGATCTGGAACAAGGCTGAACTCCTGAAATACCGACGCGACACCAAGCGAACGCGCAAGCGTCGGGTTAAGCTGGGCGTACGAAGTACCATCAAAAACCAGCTCTCCCGCTGTCGGCTCAAAAGTCCCCACAATGAGATTTATAAGCGTGGATTTGCCAGCACCATTTTCACCAAGAAGAGCATGAACCTCTCCTGCTCTTAAACGAAAGTTCACATCGCTCAGAGCGGCCACATTACGGAAATGTTTCGTAAGCCCTTTGATTTCGAGCATTTTTCTTCCGATCAATGATTCCTTACCGGCCTTTTGAAAGGCCGATAGGTATTGCATTGTTAAGAAACGATACTGATTGAACAGGCCGTCCGATTACTTCGCTGACACCGAGAACACTGGGCGAGTATTCGCAGGGGCAAAAATCTGCGTCGTATCAAAAGTGCCAACATTATCCTTCGTGACAATACCCGGCGATACCAGGAGCACTTTTTCATAAGGCTTTTTTTCAAGTGCCCTAACGGCCAGATCAACGCCGATACGGCCCATCATCACAGGATACTCTGTGGCAAATGCCAACACCTTGCCATTCTGAACAGAGTCCAACATGGTTTGGTTTTCGTAGGATGAGACAATCATAACGTCGTCACGCCCTGCATCCTCGACAGCACCGATAGCCGCTTCCGCAGTTGGAGCTCCACCCCAGATCACGTTCATTTCCGGATAGGTCTGCAGCGCATCTTCTACGAGACGCAGCTGCGCAGGAACGCTGGCTTCACCAAACTGTTCGGCTAAAAGTTGAATGTTGCCTTCTTTTACAGAGTCGCGAAACCCACTCATGTAAGTTTCCGCCCAACCCGACCCCTGTGGCCCTGGAAAACCTACGGCTTTACCGGATTTATCACCGAGCGCCTTTTTGGCATATTCGCCAGTTTGATAGCCTTTTTGGTAAAAGTCAGGCGTAATGCGCGCAGTTATAGGAGTTTCGAGAATTGGATTTGCAACTGCAATATTGACGATGCCCTTATTCATTCCCTCTGTAATCTTTGCAGCGACACCTGCTTCTGAAATTGGAGAAATCAAAATGGCGTCTGCACCAGCCGCCACGCAATCATCATATTGCGAAATTTGCTTAGGAAGGGAAGTGTAACCACCAGCCTGAAAAATGGTCAGATTAACGCCGAGGCGCTTGGCTTCTTCGACCATGCCATAATTTACAGAGACCCAATATCCGTCCTGAATGTGCGGATAGAGCACACATAGATTCCACGGCTTCTCGGCTTTATCCAGCGGGACATAATCAATATCGGACAACGCTTTAAGATCACCGTCCTTTGCAGACTTGATTTTAAACGGCCACCAATCGGCAGCCTGTGCTGATCCCATTGAACCCGTAGAAACAGAAATCAGGATCGCCACCAGAGACGAGCCAATCGCTTTGTTCAACGCCATTTTTATACGAGCTCCCATTTGCTCTATGTTGAAATCGCAGCCGGCGGTTTCGCTTCTTATTTTTCAAAAAGCTTATACCGGACATCACGCTTGTCAATCTAATTGGATACATAATATCTATTTATTGGCCGATTTCGGCACATTCCCCGATATTATTATTAATAATGTATCCAATTTTGACCTTTCGGTAGAATATTTCCTGTCGGAGTCGCCAAAACTCCGACGGTTATCACGCATCAGATGACAGTCGCTATTTTACAGATGCCAGAACCTCATCAAGTGATTTTTTCGTCACCGCAATCACATCATCTACCTGGGCTGGCGTTATGATCATGGGAGGGCAAAAGGCTATCGCATCACCCATATTGCGAGTGATAACGCCATTGTTGAACATGGCGGCATTTGCCATACTTCCGAGCGCTCCAACCTTCTCATAAGGCTGTTTCGTTTGCTTGTCGGCAACAAGTTCGATGGCAGCGATAAGACCCACGCCACGCACTTCACCCACCAATGGATGGTCTGAAAGCTCGCCGAGACGCTCAAGCATATAAGCACCCGTATCTCGGGCATTCGCCACGAGATTACGCTCTTCGATGATTTTAAGATTTTCGACGGCGACAGCAGCTGCCACCGGATGCCCGGACCCAGTGTATCCATGTCCGAAAACACCCAGACGCGCACTCTCATCAGCAACAGGCTGATAAACACGATCATTGAACATGAACGCGGAAATGGGCAGATAAGACGACGAAATTTGCTTGGAAAGGGTCATGATATCTGGCTTGATATTGAAGGTCTGGGAACCAAACATGTTGCCAGTTCTGCCAAAGCCGCAAATCACTTCATCTGCAATCAGCAAAATGTCATATTTATTGAGAACTTCCTGAATTTTCTCCCAATAGCCCACAGGAGGAACGACGACACCCCCGGCTCCCATTACAGGCTCGCCAATAAAGGCAGCTACCGTCTCCGGCCCTTCCGCCAGGATCATATCTTCCAGCTCCTGTGCCAATCGGGTGGTGAATTCTTCTACTGTTTCACCCAGAAAAGCATCCCGATAGTAATGCGGGCAAGTCGTATGCAAGAAGCCAGGCAGAGGCAGATTAAACGACACATGATTGACAGGCAGCCCAGTCGCACTCGCTGACGCAATGGTTACACCATGATAACCACGCTTCCGGCCGATGATCTTGGTACGCTGCGGCTGCCCCAAGGCATTCGAGCGAAACCAGAGCATCTTGATAATGGTGTCATTGGCCTCAGAACCGGAATTCGTAAAGTAAGCTTTGCTCATAGGAACAGGAGCAATACTGATGAGCTTTTCAGCCAGCTCGATTACCGGAGCGTGAGAGCGATGCGTGAATGTATGTGAATAAGGCAGCTTCTGCATTTGCTTGCATGCTGCATCAACCAGACGCTGTTCAGAGAAACCGACACCGACACTCCACAAACCCGCCATTGCCTCAATATATCGCCGACCATTATTGTCTTCGACATAAATTCCATCGCCTTTTTCAATAACGACAGGCCCAATTTCTTCATGGCGTCTGGCATTGGTGTTAGAATGAAAATGATACTGTATATCGCGTGCTTCGACGGAATTCGGCTGATTGGTCATTGAGTTCTACCTTCAATAAAACGGGCCGGTTGCCCCAGCCTCACATAAGAAATGGCAGTTATATGCGGTGATGCTATTCCCCTCATCACGGAGATAACGGAAGCTGATTGACCGTTGAGATAAAGCTACATACAAACGATATTACATGCAACATGTTTGATGCATCATATTACAAATTGATATGAGATCGAGTTTAGGGAGCGCGCGCAATGCACGATATTTCTGCACTACAAACTTTGGAACGCGAGAATTTAGGCGAAGTCGTGTATCGCAAAATCTCCGAAAATATAGTCGGCGGCAAGTTTGCGCCCGGTACCCGCCTCACGATACGCGACCTATCTACCTCTCTTGGCACATCGGTCACGCCGGTGCGGGACGCTATTTTACGGCTTATCCAGGACAACGCGCTCATTCAAAAAACCCCGCGCGAAGTTCGCGTGCCAGTATTGACGCCGGAGCAATATTGCGAAATTCGCGACATTCGCGTGCGTCTCGAAGGCCTTGCAGTTCGCAATGCAACAGCCAAAGCGACAACCAAGGATATTGAACGACTTTGGGCCCTGATAGAAAAGAATGAGGCTGCGCTTAAAGAACAACGCTGGCAGGACGCATTGGAATGCAATCAACAATTTCATTATGCTTTTGCGGAAATCGCCCAAATGCAATCATTATCCTTGATCCTTGGTAAACTCTGGTTGCGAATGGGGCCCCTTATCGCTGGTGCTTATGAACATGGCGGTCGATTGATGATTGATGATCACTACGTCGTCATGAAAGCACTTGAAGCAAAAGACGCAGATGCCGCTGAAGCAGCCATTGCCAAAGACATTATGGATGCCAGCGAACTCATCCTTGCCCGGATCGAAGTCCTTCTGAAAAACTGACTGCCATAGAAATCTAACAGGCTGCGCCGAGACTGCGTATAGCCACCTAAGCTCAACAGAATGTATACATTTTATAATTTTCTATTCTAATTATAATTGCGAAGATTCTGATAAAAGTTGCATATATTGTTGTTTTTATTGTTTAAAAGATAATTTTATGAAATTTATTCGGGATTTTAGCGCTGTCGAATCCCACTTGAAACGATCTCAGTTTCATGAAATGTATCCAATTAGTAGAGAAGTCGCAGATGACTTCCATCCCTTAAGGGTAAACGGGAGGATACATGCCAGATCTCACAACTCTCAATCCGGCCAGCCTTTGGGTCAATTTGACGACATCTCCAGACGACTGGTCCAACGCTGACCCATCACAGCTTCAAACCATGCTTGTTTCAGCGCACCTTATCCGTGCTTTTGAAGAGAAGGTATTGGAACTGGCGGGTTCCGGGCTTGTGCATGGACCTGCCCATTCGGCCATTGGTCAGGAGGGTGGTGCGGTTGGTTCCGCGCTTTTGATGCGGGCAGGAGACCAGATCAACGGCTCCCACCGCGCCCACCATCAATTTCTTGCAAAGTCTATTCGTTATGTTGAACCCGAAGGAATGCTCGTCAATTCGGAGTTCTCTAATGGGATCCGTGATCTTGCGCAAAAATCACTGGCCGAAATCATGGGGCTGGCGCAAGGTTTTTGCAAAGGCCGCGGAGGGTCCATGCATTTGCGCTGGGCAGAAGCAGGCAATCTTGGAACCAATGCTATTGTAGGCGGGGGGGTTCCTCTTGCAGCAGGTGCCGCATGGGCTCATAAAAATTCTGGCACTGACAATGTCGTTTTTACCTACTTTGGTGATGGCGCCACCAATATCGGATCCGTCCTTGAAACTATGAACCTCGCAGCCGCATGGAAGCTGCCGCTCTGCTTTTTCATTGAGAACAATCGCTATGCAGTTTCTACCCATATCGATGAGGTAACGGCTGAACCACGTCTGTCTGCGCGCGGCCTGGCATTCAATATTCCCGCATGGAAAGTTGACGGCATGGACCCTCTCGCGGTCATGCTTGCAAGTGAAGCGGCCCTCGAACACATGCGAAGTGGAGGCGGCCCCACAATTATTGAGGCAGACGTCTATCGTTATTTTCACCAGAACGGCCCCCTTCCCGGCTCAGCATTTGGCTATAGAGACAAAGCCGAAGAAGCCGAGTGGCAGAAACGCGACCCCATAAAGCGGCTGGAAAGCGAGCTGCAAGAGCGCCAAATTCTGAGCGAGACTGCAATCAGGGAATTACGTGCGCGCGCGCAGCAATTAATGGAAGATGTAACGTCGGAGCTGACAGAAAACATCAGTGGCAAAAGGACGATCATCTCATCCTTATGGCCAGAAGAAAGCTTTCGGGACTTCGGCATTCGTGGTGACTTATCCGAATTCTCCAATGTTCAATACGATGAACTGGAGAGCTTTGACGGGGCGGTTACACAAGGAAAATTTATCGATACAGTCTCATCCGTCATGCAGCGGCGCATGGAGCAAGACGATCGTATCGTCGTTCTGGGGGAAGATATCCATCGTCTGAAAGGTGGAACCAATGGAGCAACGCGCGGATTACCCGCATTGTTTCCGAAGCGAATTTTAGGCACCCCAATCAGCGAAAACGCGTTCACAGGTGTTGCTGGAGGAATGGCTATGGACGGTCGAGTTCGCCCGGTCGTAGAATTTATGTATCCAGACTTCATGTGGGTCGCAGCGGATCAGGTATTCAATCAAATTGGAAAAGCCCGACATATGTTTGGTGGAGACACCAATGTACCGCTTGTTCTGAGAACAAAAGTGGCTATGGGATCAGGTTACGGGTCCCAACACCTGATGGATCCAGCAGGCATATTCGCGACCTCCCCCGGCTGGCGAATTATCGCCCCATCAACCCCTTTTGATTATGTCGGCCTCATGAATTCCGCTTTGAAATGCCAAGACCCCGTCCTCGTCATTGAGCATGTCGATCTCTATGTAGCGACCGGACCGACCCCTGAGCAGAACTTTGATTATTTCATTGAACTGGGCAAAGCAAAAGTCGTGCGCAGCGGCGATAGACTGACAGTCGTGAGCTATCTCAACATGGTCCACGTCGTATTGGAAGAAGTAGAAAAACTTGGAATCGATGCGGAAGTCATCGATCTTCGGTCGCTTGATCGCGCAGGAATCGACTGGGAGACAATTGAAGCGTCCATCCGTAAAACCGGGAATGTACTGATCGTAGAACAAGGTTCAATTGGTACATCTTATGGCGGTCTTCTTGCCAGTGAGATACAAAATCGCTGTTTTGATTGGCTTGATCAACCTGTTGCTCGCGTACATGGCGGTGAAGCATCTCCAAGCATTTCCAAAGTTCTGGAAGCTGCAGCCTGCGCACGTCCGGCCGATGTGGCTCACGCCTTGCGCAGTGCAATGAGCGCACAGGGCCTTCCGATTTAACGCGTATCCCGATCAGAAGGACCGACCGATGCCACATGAAATCAAGCTTCCTTCCCTTTCCGCTGGCATGGAGACCGGAACATTGGCGCGCTGGTTAAAGCAGGACGGAGATACGGTGGAAGAACGAGAAATCCTCGCCGAAATCGAAACAGACAAAGCGACAATGGAACTGGAAGCACCAGTATCCGGTATTCTCGGGGGTATAGCATTTTTGGATGGCCAGGAAAATGTACCCGTAGGTTCAACTCTTGGAATCCTGTTTGCTAACCAAGATGATTACGCAAAATTCAACCTTAGATCAACCAGCGTAACCATTCCAAATGCCGTCAAGCAAAAAGCCCGTGAAGCAAGCATAAGTGCAGAATTTATTTCAACATCATTTGCACACCCAGAAAAGATCATAGCCCAAGAACCTCGAACAAAAGTATCTCCCCTCGCCCGAAGACTCGCACGAGCGAATAGCGTTACTCTCGACGGAATAGAGGGAAGCGGTCCACGCGGACGAATAGTGCGGATTGATATCGAACGTGCGTTGAAGAACAAGCAAGTCTTAAGCCGAGCACCGACTATTTCAAAATCCGATACCGTTAACACGATACCATCCACCATCGATGGCGAACGAATTCCGCATAGCCCTATGCGCAAGGCCATAGCGCGCCGTCTCAGTCAATCCAAAGCCACGATACCGCATTTTTATTTGCGAACAGAATGCGTCGTTGATGACATCCTGGAATTACGCAAGCGAATTAACGCCTCCAGAATAGCGGAAAAGATTTCAATAAACGACTTCATGATTAAAGCTTTCGCTTATGCATTGGCACAAACACCGCAGGCAAATATCGTTTGGACGGACGAGTCAATGATCGCTTTGACACAAGTCGACATTGCTGTCGCCGTAGCCACGGATGGTGGTTTGATTACGCCAATTGTCCGGAATGCTGACAAAAAAAGTCTGAGTGCCATTTCTTCCGAAGTGCGGTCTCTGGCAATGAAAGCGCGCAGTGGGAAATTATCCCCTTCAGAATTTGAAGGAGGAAGTGCTTCAATTTCCAATTTAGGAATGTATGGCGTGAGTGAATTCTCAGCCATCATCAATCCTCCGCAGAGCATGATCCTGGCAGTTGGGGCGGTTGAACGTCGACCTGTATGCAAAGGCGACGAATTGGGTGTCGCCAATTGTATAGCCTGCGTTTTGTCGGTCGACCATCGGGCAATTGATGGAGCACTGGCCGGAGACTTCTTGAAAACATTCAAGTCTGCGCTGGAACAACCACTCTCACTGTTGGTCTAGTTTAAATGTCTAGCTCAGAAAAGGCGGCACAAGTGCCGCCTTTTGCCTATCAGTATTTTTTGCGCCGCTTAGATTTGTTCTGCATAAATAACTTCATCGGACCGCCACAAAGCATCATGCTTGCCCCAGTATAATTCATAAACCTTTGCCGTGATCGGCCCGGGCTTTCCATTGCCATATATCTGACCATCCACTTTCGTGACCGGCATAATACCACCCGCTGTCGATGTTATAAAAATCTCGTCAGCCTGTTCCAGTTCTTCGACTTTCACAGGGCGAACCTCAACATCGAGCTCAATCTCCTGTGCAAGTTCAATAACCGTGCGGCGCGTCATGCCTTCAAAAACACCTTTATCAGGCGTGGCGAGCTTTCCGTCTTTGACAAGGAAAATATTGAAGCCCGCCCCTTCGGTAAGGTTGCCCTGGCCATCGGTCAGCACAGAAACAACTGCACCGTTATCATAGGCCTCAAATATTCCCATCGTGAGATCAAGCCAGTGAAAATTCTTGATCCGAGGGTCAACCGATTCAGCCGGAATTCTTCGTACCGAAGATACAACCATGCTCAAGCCATTGGCGCGTTGTTCATCATTGGCGATCCAGACAAAAGGCTGAGCAAACGCATAAAATCGATTTTCACATTCCCGCGGGTCGCGCGAACCGGGTTTTGGCACTCCGCGTGTGCAAGTCATCTGCACATAAGCGTTTTTCAATCCAGAAAGACGGACCAGCTCATGTAGAATTTCGGCAATTTCAGTTTTGCTGTAGGGAAGTTTCATGCGCAAGCCCTCCATCGAATGATGGAAACGCTCTATGTAATCCTCAAGCCTAAAAAAGTAGCCATTCCAGACATGAGTCACGTCGTAAGTGGCATCTGACCGAACGAAACCGCGATCGGTAATGGGGATGCACGCCTGCTTCAACGGCACATACTCTCCATGCATAAAGGCAATCCCGTCTTTTGGATCATAGCTCGTGATATTCATGACTTCCCCTATAAGTTTCTCGTTTGACGCCACATGAACGCGCTGCACATGTTTAAAATCAATGACAATGAAAGTCTTTGATTGGATACATATTTGCATGAATTTAGGTTTATATCTAGATTTACTCCAACAGAATCGCTAAATTGAATACAATTAGCTGTAAATCGTTTCAATGAGGTGGAGAATAAAATGTCCATGGCAACGAACAAATTTCCTGGTATCCGCGGGATGGAGCACGTTGGCTTTACCGTGCCCAATTTGGAGGACGCCATCGACTTCTTTACAGAAATCTTGGGGTGCGAGTTATTCTACAAGCTGGGACCATTTCAATCAGATGACGACTGGATGGAACGGCAATTAAACGTTCATCCCCGTACAATAATGAAACAACTCGCATTTCTGCGTTGCGGACATGGCTCCAATTTTGAGATTTTTGAATACACCGCGCCGGATCAAAACATTCAACAACCTCGAAACAGTGATGTCGGAGGCCATCATCTGGCATTTTACGTAGACGATATCAAAGAGGCATTAGCTTATTTGCGCAGTAAAAAAATTCGAATACTCGGAAATCCTGTGATCCGTGAAACGGGGCCAAGTGCTGGGCAAACATGGGTTTATTTTTTAACCCCTTGGGGTATGCAGCTTGAACTTGTCTCTTTCCCGAACGGAAAAGCTTATGAGAAAGACACTGTGCGGCACCTATGGTCACCCGTTGAACCGGCTAAATAAACTTATATAGTTACATATCGGAATCTAAAGTCATGGGCGCGGAGCTTTTTAATGCTCACTGAAAATCAAACGTCATCGGCAGTTGCCAGCAACCGCATAACTGATGCGATGCGCGACGCTATTTTAAAGGGCGAATTAAAGCCCGGTAGCCGTCTAAGGCAGGAAGCCCTCGCATCCACCTACAACGCCAGCCGCATTCCAATACGTGAGGCCTTGCGTCAGCTGGAAAGCGAAGGACTGATTACGCTGGTTCCCAACAGCGGCGCCTGGGTCTCCAAACTTGACCAAGCGGAATGTGTGGAAATCTACAAGATCCGTGAACAACTGGAACCGCTAGCTCTAAGAGAAAGCTGTCAAAACCTCTCCGAGACAACATTGACCAGGCTTGAAGAGCTCGTCACTGAGATTAGAGATGCTCAGGACATTGACGAGTTCCTTCATCTCGACCGCGAGTTTCATTTGCTAAGCTATCAGGGTGCAAGAATGCTCACTCTGCTTCAGATGATACGGCAATTCTGGAACTCAACCCAACAATATCGCAGAGCATATGCGCTCTCGGTGGAATTGAATGATCGATCGGCCGTTCACCACGAGCATTGGCTGCTAGTTGACGCTCTTAAGAGAAAAGACGCCACTCATGCGGGGCTGATCCTCGGTGGGCATATACGCCGAACCAGAATGGAATTGCTCCACAGACCAGATCTTTTTCAATAAACTGGTGCGCAGATAACGATTTTATCAATGAATGATAAAACTCGTCTTATGCTTGGTATAAAAAGGCCATGAATCATCAATTTTTCCGGTTGATCGTTCTACATTCCAACTGAATTTAGCCCAGAATGCCGGATGATAGCCGTGCGAGGCCGCGTTAGAAACAGATTGAATGATCATATAAGTAGCAAGTTCAGTAGAGAAATCAGCGCACCGGCCGACGACAAGGTGACTCCAGCCGATAAACGACAAGTTAATCTTTTGATAATATGAAAATTTAAAATAATCTCGATGCATATTTTATACTAGAGGATTGAAATGCTTTCTGATTTTATCGTTGGATCTACAGTCAGCACAATTGTTATGTTAGTGCATTTAGTTGCCACCCTTGCGGTATATTTATTTGTTCATGCCCTTGGTAACAAGATAAATGAGCAGAAAGTAGCTTTTCTTATTATATCGCTCATAAGCTTATACATTATTCTTTTCATATGCTTGTGCGTGAGCGTGACTATTTGGGCAATGACGTATTACCACATGGGGCTGGTCGATAATTACCCCGACGCTTTTTATACAGCAATGCTCAACTATACTACACTTGGGTCTGGCGACCTCAATCAAGTAGCAAAAACGCGTTTGTTCGGACCAATGGCAGCAGCAAGCGGCATTTTGATGTTTGGTTGGACTGCGGCATTACTCGTATATATCATCCAACTACATTTACCCGTCATATTGAAGAAGCGATGGGAAAAATAATACATTAACGGTGGGCAACTGCGCTAAAAATTACTAGTCATCAATTTATTGATACTATATTTGGTTTAATTGAATCTATGATGCGCTCAAAGTATCCGTTTTTTATACGCGCGTTTCGTAACAATGGTTCATGCGTTACGTAGTGTACTTTAGCTTGCGCGTATTCAATCTATCACCTAAATTGAAATCACTTTTGTTTAAGATTTCAGAGCATCTACACCGATCAGCAACTCTTACTATTTTCTCACAAGCAGTAAAAAATAAAAATGTCACAAATATTTGTTGTTCACACGCGAAATTCTTTAAATGATTTCTTATTAATATTAAAATTCTTGAACTCGCTTGATGCGATAAACAAATCAGTTTTTAATGTTCTGATTATTCAGTACTTCGCAGATTTCAGAGAATTTTATCAAATATCAGGAATAATAAAAAATATAAATCTATGAACAGCTCTATGTTATCCCTACATTACTTCTGATGATACCTAAAAATTTGAACCAGCTCATGAATGCACAAAACAATGCGTGAAAGCGACGGAAAACCACTCTAAATTCTCGACGCATTTAACCGTATACGACTTGGGGCGGATTGATGTCCATTGCAATGAAAAAACTGCGGGCTTTAGCGTCACGCTAAGAATTCAGAAAACTCAATTACGTTAATAGTAATGGCGGAGGGGGTGGGATTCGAACCCACGGTACAGTCTCCCGCACGCCGGTTTTCAAGACCGGTGTTAAATCACTGTTTATCTTGACATTTTTATGCATAATGCTCATAATGTTGCACGATTGTTGCAAACGTGGGCAAAAACAACGATGGCAAGCCTTGTAAAGCGTAATGGACGATGGACCGCGACAGCGCGCCTTCCTGATACTTTTCAGGGACCCGCCAAGGCCAGATCAATCAATCAGACCTTCACAAAGAAGTCTGACGCCCGTCTGTGGCTTGAGTCAACAGAAGCAGCCATGCGCCTTGGCACATGGAAAGACCCTCGCCTTACTCCAAAACATTTCGGTCCGCTGAGCTGGCCTGACAAACAGCTTGAAGATGCGATAGATCTCTATCGCGAAAAGGTGACGCCCGAGAAAAAAGGGGCGTCTCAGGAAGTCGCAATGCTCAAGATGCTGGCACGGCAGGACTTCGCAAAAAAGAAGCTGCGCGAATTGTCGGTCTCTGACTTTGCGGATTATCGCGATGAACGCTTGGACGAAGGTCGAAGTGCCTCGACCATCCGCAACAACCTCAACACAATATCCGCCGTATACGAATGGCTAATCCATGAAAAGGAAGTCGATATCGCAAACCCTATCGCAGCCCTTCGAAAACGCAAGCGTGGCGTTCCCCAACCGCAAGGTCATCGCGAGCGCAGATTGCGCGAAGGAGAGGAAACAGCCATTACCAAAGCCATCGGGGAGATTGAAGGACCTGTCGGCCGCCAGTGGAAAGTCCTCTTCCCCCTACTACTCGACACGGGCATGCGCTTAGGGGAAGCTATGTCACTGCGATGCGGCTGGCTCCGGGAACGGGAAAATTTTGTAGTCATTCCAGAAAGCAAGAATGGCAGCCGTCGGTATGTAGCTCTCTCGAACCGCTCCTATGTGGAGCTATCAGAGCACATAGGCACTGAACCAGATGACAGCCTCGTTTTCCGATTTTCAGCGTGGACAGCAAAGAACGTGTGGCGAGATGAAATCCGGATAAAAGCCAAATGTTCCGATCTCCGTATTCATGATCTACGGCATGAAGCCCTATCATTAATGGCATCACGTGGTGTCGATTTGAAAACGCTTATGCGTCAATCGGGTCACAAAACCGTTGCGGTATTGATGCGATATCTGAATCCGACTCCAGAGGAACAGTGGGCGCGCCTGTTTGATCCCAAGCCAACCAACAACGATTCACAATAACTTTAATTATTGAACAGATTGTTGATGGCAAGCGTTAGGTTTTGAAACGGCTTGAAGCCTGACGGCGAACGAATATCTCCATACGCACAGAAATCCAAAACGAGGGGGCGCTCGACGGAACATCGCCGCCTGCGGCAGCAACTATCTGTTTTACTCCCCAAGAGTCCGACAAGCTGTCATACTTTGAATCCTTTATTACGCTGCGCGCCACCGATGCATAATGTCCGGCATAAGACCCACCCTCACGTTTCTCTCTGTGATAAAATATACGCCTACCATCGGTCGGATAATCAATTCTCGGTCGCCAACCACCTCTCGCGAAAACTAAATCATTACGTATTGGATTAATTGAACCGTAATCACCGTAGTAAATGCCCGCATTATCGTTGATTTGGCGCATTACTTCGTCATATAAATACTCTTCCTCAATTGGAAATGTACCCTCTTCCTCACCACCCAGCTCCGTTACCGAAGACGGAAAGGAAGTTGCTACCACCACAATTTCAGCACTTGAAACAATATCTCTAACCTTTTGGATAATCTTACTTGTCCGCAAAGCATGCATGATGCCCGTACCAGTCCTAACGAACTCGTGATCGATGATCAAAACAAACCGTTTACCTTGCAACAAGTGATTATTGATATCTCCAGCTAGTATAGCAATATCGTACAAAAACTCAGTATCGTGTAAAACTGACGCTCGATAGGCTACTGCATCGTGTGTAGCCATCATGGCATTCAATTGTGCTAATATATTATTCTTATATTCCGCTGCTGTTTCACCCTCTGAAGGATTTACGATCAGTGTCGGAATGAGATTGTTTAAACGATCGTTACGCATCCCTTCGCAAAAATTCCGCCAAGCTAAATATCCGTCTGCAGACGTCGTTAGCGCGGAAAGTTCTGCACAGCTAAGGCTAGGTTCCCGAGTTATATCCAAAATTACAGATGAGTTACTCTTAAAGTTTTCTTTCGCTGCTTCAATATTCTTTTGATAGTCAAAAATTCCGAGAGTGTTAGGCCATTCTTCTTCTGGTATGTCCTTGCCTGCATTTGGCTTTTTTCTGCCACGCGTAAGTTCCACGATTGGAACCACATCATTTTTATGAGGATGGTCAAAATTGACCCAAAATCTGTTTTCAGATTGTGCGGTTTTAAAAAGTAAAAAATACTCATTCGCCATTTAATACATAGCCCAATTTCATTGCGCGAACGCGGACAGCTTCAAGGGAAACATTAAAAACATTAGCGATGGCCCTAATGTTTCCGCCAGTCTCTTTCACGAAAGCTAAAAATTCTTCGTGCGGCATAAGAATTTCTCCAGCCACCCGATTAGCCTGGTATTCGATTGGATTACGTTCCGCATTTCTGTACAGGATACGTTCACCTATTGGCTTCATGCCAATTTGCTCTCGGTGAAGTTGGTAATGAACATATTCATGGGCCATAGAAAATCTTTGTCGATTTTTATGGTGCTTGGAGTTGACCGCGATTTTGAAACCGCTATCGTCTTTTTTCATAATATAGGCGTCATTATCCCCTAAATCCTCAAAACAGAGTTCGAGTTCAGGATTAGCGGCTATAGCTGATTCAATGCTCGTGCACCCATTTGCTATGAAGCCCTGACTCCGGAAATATTCTATAATTCTTTCAGGCGTGTCGAGAGCTGACGGATCTAGCTCTGAACCAAAACTCACAGAAGCGAGCACGTCTGGGTCCATTGGCCTATTAGGTCTTTTTTTCATGGCTGCTGTATCACTCCCGGAAAATCGTAACCGTCTTCCTCTAGCACAGCTATCACTGTTTCTAGGCGAATGGTTAGTTCGCTCGCCTTCGTTTCACTGAGTTCGCTAAGCCGCTTATCTATCCACCTCTCGGCTACAGCGGATGCGAAATAACGCGCCACTTCCGCTTCCATCACCTCTTGAGATTGATGACTTGCAGAAGCCCTTACGACTAGAAATGCTAAGGTTGCCAACACTGCCAAAAGGCCAATTAGAATAGTGATTATAGAAGCATAAAATGTCGTTATAGCCGACAAATATTCACCTGAGTCCCATTTATCATCAAAAAAACAGTAATTAAATCCATTCTTGCTTCCGCAGTTCGCGTTCTTAATAAAGTCGACGTCAACAAACCAAAATAAAATGATAACAATGCAAATTGTAGCTATGAGCCCACCAACCACACCAGCCCAAAAGCAAGTCCAATAAGTTCGCCGTTGCTCTTTTATAGCGGGCTTATCACCGCCTAATAGACCGGTAGTATGCCCCATTTTTAGATACTCATCCCAATTCACCCCGATTCGCTAGAAAAGATTACAATCTTTTTCTTTTCCGTCTAGGCCGCGCTCAATTATTGCTGACCTAAAACTTATTATTACGTAAAATCCCTTCTCCTCCCCACCGTCGAGCCACCGACAATGTGAAACCTACAAGTCCTTGCCGTTGCACAGGAGCAAAGGTTCATTTTCTGTGGTTTGTTGAAGCCATACCGCTAATTTTACTCTTTTTGGGACGCCCTATATGCTTACCTCTGAGCTTCGCTGCTGCCATTCCTGCTTTTGTCCTTTCACTGATGAGCGAGCGTTCAAATTCTGCGAGCGCCGCAATCATGTGAAATAGCAATTTTCCGCCAGGCGAAGCGGTATCAATGCTTTCCGTTAACGACTTGAATTCGATCCCTTGATTGCCGAGGCTGCTCACATGCTCAACCAGTTGCACAAGTGAGCGTCCGAGGCGATCTAGACGCCAAACGATGAGCGTGTCACCTGGTTGGAGTATATCCATCGCTTGCTGCAAACCCGGTCGTTCGTTAGACGCACCGGAAATACCATGATCTGTAAAAATGCGGTCACATCCTGCTTGCTTCAGTGCGTCAAATTGCAAATCCATCTTTTGGCAGTCAGTTGAAACCCTCGCATATCCGACCTTTATGGGATATTCACGTAATATAGTTTTGTGGTTGTTAATAATTCTCTTCTTTTTCACCGTATTATTCCTGCGCCGTTCTCCCAATATCCGCTTGAATTTCATAGCATTCCAGCCTCGATTTTGTTGACGGAAAGGGAAGCCTTTGAAATTTCAATAGTCGTAAACAATTTTTCTATATTTTTTCTTCAATGGAGGCTTTTTCGGCGGTTTTCCTGACTCTTAATCTATTGCCAATATTTGAATCACTTCTTTTGATAAGGCTTCCCTTTATGTAATTCGACTGTTTGAGGGGCATTTTTGCAGTCGAGGGGATCGCATGGACCACATATCGGAACTGGGCATTAAAGTTGTGTCGGGCGAGATCATTCAGATTTCTGCGAGCATTTCTCAAGGAGACGTCGAAAACTCAAATACGAATGCGATGTACCCGTTCATTATGCTGAAGACAGCAAGCGGCGAGGTATTGAAGATCAACAACCTAGTCGTTGATGCGCATATTGAGCAGCATCTGGTGATTGGCCAGACGCTGACTTTATATCTTAAACAGGTGCGTCACTTGATAAATTTCAAGACAATGAATTGCGCGGTAGCGGCAGTAAGCAATCGTGGAACCGGAATTCTGGACTTTCCGGCGCGTGCCATAACTGCCTTCTATGCTCAGGCTATTTTTGTCGGCTTGATTTTAGGCGTGGCAGTTTCGTTTTTTCTGACGACCGTGCTTGGAGGCATCTTTTTCTATGTTGGGCGAACCGTTGGAATGATAACCGGACTTTACTTCCTTGAGTATCTCACATTCGTCGGAGGTTTTCTCGGCCTGATCAGTGGTCCCGCACTTCTCATCTATCTGCTGCGTTCTGCTGGTAAGTTTTCTGAAGTCCGCAAAGTGGCGGAACGTCTTCGCAAAAAGCTGGACAACAATTATCACGGCGTCGCCGTCAAAAATATCTGACGTCTATCCACCCGACGGAAAGAACATCAACATGCGCAAATTCCTTTTGACGTCGCTTGCAGCTTTTTCTCTTGTGACGTCTGCTCTCCCTGCCGCCGCTGCTAGTGATCCCTATGTCGGGGAATATGTCGGTAACTGCCCCGACGCCCAGTGCTTCATTGAGATTACGAAAAAGAAGGGCAAGAACTATAATTTACGCTTCACTGCAGCAGACCCAATGGATGCGCAAAAAATCCTCTGCAAAGCTGATATCCCGATGAAACGCGGAAAACTTGTCTTTACCGCCCTTGAACAATACGAGGACGCACTTTCAGGAGAATACAAAGCCGACCCGCTCGTGTGGTTACTCGCGCTAATAGGTGGCAGCATCCAACTATATATCGAAAATGCACCCTGTGGCCGCTTTGATATGAGCGGCGAGTATGGCCCTTACGGTGATTAAAAATATAAAAGCGGCCACCAGTTAATGGCAGGCCGCTTTGTAGCGTCATTGGAGGGGGAGGAAGCGACGCCACATCCAATAGTTTCAGGGAGAAAAGTCGTCGGCGCAAGTCGATTTCAGTACCGTAACATTATTTCGGATGCGGAAT